CCCTCAGGGTCCAACGTTGTAAGCGGCGGGCCAAGGCGGGGGGCAAAACAGTCAAGTTGGTCCAGACGGAGCTCAACCCTGGGATGCTCTGGGCGGTCGGGGCCCACTGGATCAACGACGCGCAGCTCCTCGAGGCTAGGCAGTTGGAACGAGCGGGATGCATTTTCAGGCACGCGGGTAGGTCTTTCTCGCTCGTCCTGATGCTGGCAGGCCGCCAGGTCCACCCCGCGTTCGAGTGCAGCCGTGGGCCTGTTATTTGTGGCTGCATGCGCTCTGGGACGGTTGGGCGCCAAGACCTGGCATGGCACGTCTTCTGAGCGGTGCGTGGGCTCGTTTATCGGTTATCCCAGTCTCCAGGGTGCGGTCTGACATTCGGGGGCCCGCGTCGGCCCTTGTAGGTGCGATGACCCGTTTGGGATGGAAGTTGGTCAACCCGTTCCTTTGGCAGACCCACCGAGGGCCCGTTTTGATAGAGGAGACTTCGCCCAGGGATGGAGGTAAGTTGGCTGGCGAGGCCGCAGCGCTGGATTTGGCAGCAAGTTCTGGCTAAGCACCCGTATTGGGCGTCGCTCTGTCCTCGCCCTCCGATCTTGGAGCCCCTGAGGCCCCTTCTCCTCCCGTCCTCTCGTGGCCCTGACTGGCCCCCCAGGCGCCAGGGGCTCCTGGGGTGCTTATTTGCGGGAGGTTGTTGGTCCCGGGAGAGGCTGTGCAATGCTGGCGGCGCGGTCGACCCAGATTCTTTGATTTGCATGAGTCGGGGCACGACGTGGCGCAGATTTTACGGATGCCCCGCTCGCGATTCTTTTCGCCGCGAGTATATGGCAGACTACCGGTTGGCTGGCCAGATGCTTGAGCTAGCCCAGTCGGCCGCTGACGTCTCGTTGAGAGCGAGTTGTCTGGACCTTGCGGGCTGACGACTTGCTCCTCGACGTGCGCGTGTTCGGCGATGGCTCGGGCTTGCATGGGCGGCGCAGCCGCCTCAGGCGATGTGGTTGGGAATTGTGCTCTCTGGATTTTTCTTGGCACGGAGTCGCCAGAATGCATGGGCCACTGCCGTCCCTCTTCCACTCTGTGCTTGCTGCGGAGCTGTTTAGCGTCCTCATGGCCCTCAGGTATGGGTGCGCAGATGAAGTTCTACAACGATTGCAAGCCGCTAGTCGATGTTTGGCGCCGAGGGCTTGGTGCTGGCACGGCTGCCAGTGACCCGATGGCGATACTCTGGAGGGAAGTCTGGAGGTTGGCGGCGGATCGGGGTTTTGAGGCGGTGGAGGTCTCTCACGTCAAGGCCCGCGCACCGCGCCCGGCGGTGATTGAAGGGCGAATCGCGCCTTGGCAACGGTTTGGGGCGGCCAAGGCTGACGAACCTGCCACAGTAGGAGCCACCATGCACTCGGATAGTGTTAGTTTGCGCGAGGCGCACAGGTCATCCATCCAGGCGGTCAAGATGGTGGCTCAGTTTTGCACGCGTGTCGCGGCTAGGATCGGTTCGGCCACGCCCCCAGATGGCCAGGCAGTCGTGCTTAGGAGGGCTATCGGCACCATCGAAGGTGGGCTGGGCCCTCCCAGGCCGCATTCTCGTTTCGATCCTGCGGTTGCGTATATGGGCAGGAGAGTTCGCTGCATGATCTGCCTTAGACCGGCGAAGTCTCGAGCTGTCTTGCGGCAGTTGAAGTGTTCGGAGAGCCATGCTCAACATGTTGTGTACCGCGTGGGGCCTGTGCTGTACTGTTCGATTTGCGAGGCATATGCCATGCGACGTAGCCAAGGGCTTTCCGAGGAACGCAAGCCGATTAGGCGCCGAGCCGGCATTCTGGTCAAATATTCCAGGTACTATCGGCAGCAGAATCTTCTCAAGGGCTGCCGCCCCAAGTCGGGCCTCTTTTTGGCCCTCCACTTTTGCTTCGCAAGCGGAGTTTTTTTGTGAGACGGCTCTATTGCCGCCGCTTCCACCTCTCCTGAGACCTCTGGGGCGGGGAGTGGTTCGGGAATGGGGGCGGGGTTGGCGGGGCGGGAGCACTCTCCTCCTCCTGTTTCCCAAGCTGATTTGGCCTTGGGGGAAGGCCTTGTCGGTTTCCCTCTTCGCCAGCGATTCGGACGACGGCGATCCCGCTCGCGAAGCGAGGCTGTGGGTCGAATGGCGTCTCCATCGTTGGCCGTTTGCGTTTTTCCAACTCCTGGCCAGTACGCGTGCGGCTGTTCCTTGTCAGGTCAAAAATCGTTGATCCTCAGGGCGTGTGCTAGCTCAACGTCGTGTGTTTGCCCCTTTCAGCGCCGTCGCTGGCACGCGGCCGGTACTGGCCCTCGTGAACTGCGCCGCCAGCGTCGCACGGGATGGCTTCTGTGGAGAAGCGCACGTTGGTGCCAACACACGCTTTGAGGATCAACGCGGAAGGTCGCCCCTTCCGGGTACGCGTGAGACGCCAGATTCGCCGGAGCTCGGGCTTCCCGTCTTTTTTCGGACCGGTTGTGGCGTTTTTAGTTTTTGGGGTGCCTGTAGCGGGAGTTCGCGTCAATTTTCATGTTGGGTCTCGCTTTTTTCAGACAGCCACGCCAGGCCAGCTCGACGCCTCAGAAGGTGCTTGGCGTTCTCGTTTGCTAGTTCCAATGAGTCTATCTCCTGGCGCTTCCGCGTGCACCTGGACGCAGGGGATGCCTGGTAAGAGGGCCTTGGTTTCTTTCTCACGGTTCCTCTATGTAAGGTGCAGCCCCTGGGGGCTCGAATCCAGCATCGGCGCTGGTACATCCTGGATCGAAATCGGGCCAACTCCAGCTCAACCTGGCTCGGTCCAGCGGCTTGATAGTCCTTCGTCGTTGTCTCGAAGACCTCCCAGGAGTTGCTTCCGATTTCTGTGGCAGAGCTGGGGCAGTCCCCGGCCAGGCCCTGCCCCCGCAGGGGCGGCCGACGAGAACGAGGGGCAGTCGGAACTGCACACGGGCAGGGGCGTCGGGGCGCGAGTGGAGTGCGAGGGCTCGGTTCCTGGGTCCTTCGCGGTGCCCGGACAGAAGGTGGCCACACCGATCGCGCCAAGACAGCGCGGCCACAAAGTGCACCGCGCGATATCGATTGCCCCCCCCCCCCCCCCCAAGACCCAAGATCTAAGATCACTTGGTTTGTCGCGAGGCAACGCGCAATGGAAAACATTGAACACAGAAACTTTTTGGGGGATGGGCGGGAGTCATGTGTATCATGCGGTACGAGTTGCCATCATGTCATGTTGGCCTCACGCCATAGGTGTGGACTTTTTTTGGCCAGGGCACCGCCGCACCAACGCTACCTTGTCGCGCATTCGGGGCTCGGCTCCTCCGAAGTCTCTTCCCGTGTCTCAAGGCGCGGTGACTTCGCCGATGATATCTCCGGAGAGCCCCATCCTGCCACCGGGATCGCCCCGGAACGTGGGCCCTCGGGCGTCGAGGACTTGTTGAGGTTCGGGGGCGACGTCGGGCTGGTGTGGTATATACCTTTTCTCGCTTCCTGGGGGAACAACAAAAAATGTATACACCAGGATCCCTGCACCAGGATCCGTTTCCTTGTGCAAGTGTCAGTGCAGGGCCGGAAACAGTGTCGGTGTATAGAGTTCGCTTCCCTATAATGGGGGGGCGATCCATGGTGGGGGTCCCGCGGGGGTGCCGTTTGAGCCCTGAGGAGCCCTAGAGGGGCCCCCATATCAGGGGCACGGGAGGTGCACGTTTCTCCCCCCCCCACCCCGCTGATCCCCCCCCCCCCCCCCATTCGCTCACGCCCGAGGCGCGTGGTCTCCAGGAAGGCCTCTTGGGGCCTCTCGGGCTCCCCCCGTGGGCCCCGCGGGGGGTCCTGTCGACGGCTGCTCGACCGGGAGCCTGTTGGGAGTCCTTCGGGGGCCTCTCTGGGCGCCTGTTTGGGACCAGGGGGCGGCCTCGGTGATGATCTCGGGGTGGAGGGCCCAAGCTGCCAGTTCGCGGCCCTCCTCCTGGCCCCCTCTTGGGGCAGTCTTCCTGGCCTCGTGGGCCCTCTGGGCCTCGGGGTCCGTTCTGGAATGAGTCTTGCGGCCTGCTGGGTCATCTTGGGCGCTCGTGAGACAGGGAAGGCGGGACGGCTAACCTCATCGGAATGTCTCGAGCGTGTCAGTGTCTTTTGCCTCTATCGGTGCGGCTTCCAGAGCCTCCTCAATGGCCCAAGAGGCGCCCGAGAGGGCTCCAGGACTTGCCCTGGGCCTATCTCAAACCATGCTGGACGCGTGGAACTCCCGCCGCGCGACGACGCCCTGCGCGCGCTCGTGCGTACCCAGAAATCTGGGGCCTGGGCCCCCGAGAGAGTGCACTTTCAGCAGCGACTGCGATCGGCGCCCCAGGCGTCCCAGCTGTGCTGTCGGGGAGGAGGAGGAGGAGGAGGAGGAGGAGGAGGAGGAGGAGGAGGAGGAGGTGAGGAGGAGGAGGAGGAGGAGGAGGAGGAGGAGGAGGAGGAGGAGGAGGAGGGCGGCGCCCGGAATGCGGAGCACGCGTGCCCTCCGAGTGCGCAGGACGTGCCGCGTGCGCGTGCGGTGCCGCGCGTCTGGCGTGCCCCGCGCCCCCTGCCGTGCGCGTGCCGTGAGCGTGACGCTCCGTCTCCGCCGCGCCGTGGGCGTGCCGTGGGCGTGCCGTGCCCGCGTGCCGTGCCGGGCGCGTGGTGCGCGCGGGGAGCACGTGCCGTCCCGTGCGCTGCCCGCGGTCTGTGCTCCCCCTCCTCCTCCTCCTCCTCCTCCCTCCTCCTCCTCCTCCCCTCCTCCTCCTCCTCCTCCTCTCCTCCTCCTCCTCCTCCTCCTCCTCATCCATCCTTCCTCCCCGTGCCGTGTTTCATTTGCCGGCGCGGCGTGCCCTCTCTCGTGCGGCAGGGTGGTTTGTGGGGCGCCCACGCCGGCAGGAGAGGCAGTGCTCGAGGCGGCGAGCTGAAAGGGACCTCCTCTCGGTGCTTGGCGGTCCGGTGGCGGGTGTGGCAGACAGCACGTCGACAGGAAGCAGGAGCAGTGTAAGCATATTCTGTTCAGGTGGTCCAGAAGATCGACGGGGGCCGGCTGCACCCCTCGATGATAAAGGCGCGTGCGCATGCCTGAGGCTTCGTCGTCGTTGCACGGCCTTCCTGTATCTATCTTCTGTGGGCACAGCTCCTCCGTCTCCAGCCTCAATTTTGACACTTCCGCGCAGCTCATGCGACTTGCGCCGCATCCTCCTGCGTGCTTGCACTTCGGAGAGAGCCAACGGTGTCTTCAACAGAAGTGCAGGAGGCACTTGTGGCTTTCGGGGGGTGGCCTGGGGGCGGCGCTGCTGTTTCGGCGGTGCTCCAAGCAGCACTGTCCGTGCACCTGGGGCAGCCAGCGATGGGAGAGGAACGCGGAGCGCACGTGATAGACCGTTGCGTTGGCAGCCTCAGTGAGTCCAGGCAGGTTCACTTCGATTGTAAACGCCTATCGAATAGCGCCCAGCAGCGCCCATTGGCGCATTGAGCAAAATAGCGCCGAACTAGCGTCCAATATCGACGAACGGCGCCCACGCGCCATGTGGCCCTGTGAGAGAGATGCATTCTGTCAGCTTTGCGCCCGATTGGGCGTTCTCTTGGGCGCCATGGGGACGACCAACACCTTCGGCTGTTTGCTTCTTAAGTGCGCACCAGCTGGCCAGCCGCGCTCAGCGCACTCTCATCCCTGGGACTCGCACGTCGGCCACAGAGGTTCATTGAGAGGGTCGGACGGCCGAGGAACGCACGGGCCCCGAATGGGCCAGTCGGGTCGCCGAACACGCTGCCGTTCTAGGAGAGAGCACTCGGCGTGAGTCCAGCCGGAGGGCAGGCGTGGGCTGCTGCGCGATGACCATAATAATTCCATCCTCGACTTTCTACCTCAGTCCTACACAGTCTGCCTACTCTCCAACGCAACTGCGGTGTGAATCTTGACGTCATTACTTCGGGAAAAGGCCTTTCCTAATCACGGCCTCCCGAAGTTTCCCCGGCATTGCATGTCCCAGCTGCGTCTGCGCGCCGCTCGGCGTGCGATGTTGCGAGTGAATCACCGGGAGCCCCGGGACGGGGATCCGTGCCGCCGCGAGCAGGGCCAGGGTGCCACGGCACTGGCAGGATCCTGGGAAGCCGGGGTTGCACTGGCCCAGGCTGCAGTCACCCCGCACAGTAAGGACGAGCAGCTTCCCATGGCTACCCCTACTTCGTAATAAAAGGGAGGGGGTCACAACCCTCCCAGACGAGCCATTTCAGACCCCCCCTCGTGGGAGAACCCTCCAAAACGTCGTCCCCAGACCCCCCTAGGCCCTCCAAGATGGCCTGGAAGAGACCCCCCCCGAAATGAGACCCCCCTCCCTTTATTACGAAATCTGGAGTACCCCTGCTTCCTTGCCTCTTCGGCCCATCCTTGGCCGCGCCCCGCTCGCAAAGTGTCGACCATGGCCTTCCAAGGCCCTTGCATCCTTATCGTGCGTCCTGATTCGGGTTGACTGTAGCGCGCAGCATCCTTTGAAAAAGAGAAAAGGCCGTAAGTATATTTTTTTGCCGCTCCGCGCGGATTTCTTGGATCCGCGCTGGGCCCCACCACGGCGGCGCCTCCAGCGCCGCCCCTGGCGCGCTCCGCGCGCCAGGGAGGGGAGTCTGGCGCAGATACAAGAAATCCGCGCGGTGCGCAAAAAGTTGATGCTCATGGCGGTTTTTCTTCTCCTGATCCCTGATCCTGCTGGATCTTGCACGATTCTGCAGAGCCTTACTGGCCCGGCTTTGCACTGACCCTCGGGTCACGAACCAGGGGCTCACGACGGGAGGCTCCCCCGCGATCCCTCGGGGGAGGAGGAGGTCCCCCACTGCTGCCCTTTTCGCCCGCCTCCCCCTCCCTCGGCCTCCTCGTGGGGCGGCCCTCGTCGCCGCCGCCGGCTTCGCCTCGAGCTCCTGGCCGGCACGCGCCCCACGGGCCAGGAGGAGGAGGAGGAGGAGGAGGAGGAGGAGGAGGAGGAGGAGGAGGAGGAGGAGGAGGAGGAGGAGGAGGAGGAGGAGGAGGAGGAGGGAGGCTCCCAGCCGGGGGGGCGGCCGCTCCCCGCGCCGCCTGCCCGCCGCCCCGACGGGCGCCCCTCGGCTCACGGCCCGGTGGCCCGCCCTCGGCGGCGGCGCCGCGCAGATCGGGGGCGGAAAAGAGGGGGGTGATGACCAGGGGGGGGTGGATATCATGGCGCGGGCCATGATTTTTCCCCAGATTTCATGGCGCCCCTTCTTATTCCATTACGTCCCTGGCCCCCCCGCTGGGCCGCGCACATGCCGCTGGTCATGATTTGCACCCCCCCCTCTTGGACACTCCCCTCTTGGCCGCTCCCGAGAGGAGGCGGTCCCGACTACCAGCCTCGAACGCACCCCCATCCCTAAGAGTGACGCGCCAAAAGGCGATGACAATCTCAGGGAGTCGCCCTCAAAGAAGAAGGGGATCCCCAAGATTGGCATCGTGATGAGGAGGTCCCCGGCATAGGGATAGGGATATGTTCCAGGCTGGTAACCCGACTGCGTCGGAGCCACGGGAGGCCCACCGCTCCTGGCCTCCCAGGGGGCAGGGTAGCGCTGCAGGGGCACGGGGGTCGCCCTTCGCTCATCACACGCTCTCTCTCTCTCTCTATTCCTCCCCCCTCCTCGTACATCCCGCGTCCTCAAGAGCTCCCCGATGTCGCACCATCCAGCACACGGCCTGCCGCGAAGATGCGCAGCCGCGCGCTCAGAGGAGGAACAGGTACCCCGTACCACTACCCTTCCCTCGGTTTCAAGCCATCCTGGGCCTCCTGGGAGGCCCTCGTCGCCACCGCTGGATTCGCCTCGAAATCCGGTATCGATACCTTCTAGTTTCCTCTGATGCGCAGCCGCGCGCCCTCACCGCTGCTCTCGGGGCCATTGGTAGGATGGCATAGCACGGAAGTTTCCCGCTCGTCTTGGATGAAATGTATATCGGCGAATAGCGCTCATCAGCGCTCCATCAAGGGCTTCGCGCCGAATAGCGCCCAGTAGCGTCGAATAGCCTTTACTCGGGGGCCAACCAATCGCGTAAACACAGAAATTCTTGGGTCCGCGCGGATTCCTCGGATCGGCCCTAGGGCCCCCTGCCAGCGCCTCCAGCGCCGCCCCTGGCGCGCGCCCCGCGCCAGAGGGGGGTCCAGCGCCGATTTGGGAAATCCGCGCGGACCTCCGAGTCTTTCTGTTTCTGCCACTGCCGCCCTCGGGGGCGCGAGAGGCACGGCGAGAGCCGGCTCCAGCCATCGCCGTTTGGGCGAGCGCGCTGGGATCCAGACAGAGCCCTTGCCCGGGTGTCCTGCCCCCCCGGCGGGCCTCCACGAGCCAGGACCTCACCCTTCACCGTTCGGGGCCGTCGGTGACGAACGAACAGCACGCACCCATACCCATAAGTGGGGCGGGGTGAGATACAGATGCGTGTTGCCAGAGGGGGGCCCCCGCGCGAACGTCAGCCTCGGGACCAGGGTTTTCCCAAACCAAACGGGTCTTCCCAAACCAAATGTTGCGGAATCATACCGCCGGGTCTTCCCAAACCAAACCCGGGTCTTCCCAAACCAACCGGGTCTTCCCAAACCAACGCCCCCAGGTCTTCCCAAACCAACCGGGTCTTCCCAAACCAACTCTCCGGGTCTTCCCAAACCAACCGGGTCTTCCCAAACCAACCTCCGGGTCTTCCCGAACCAACCGGGTCTTCCCAAACCAATTCCCCGGGTCTTCCCAAACCAAACGGGTCTTCCCAAACCAACCGGGTCTTCCCAAACCAACCTCCGGGTCTTCCCAAACCAACCGGGTCTTCCCAAACCAACTCCCCGGGTCTTCCAAAACCAAACGGGTCTTCCCAAACCAAACCCCCGGGTCTTCCCAAAACAAACCTGGGTCTTCCCAAACCAACCGGGTCTTCCCAAACCAACCGCCGGAGTCTTCCCAAACCAACCGGGTCTTCCCAAACCAACCGGGTCTTCCCAAACCAACCGGGTCTTCCCAAACCAACCGGGTCTTCCCAAACCAACACCCGGGTCTTCCCAAACCAACCGGGTCTTCACAAACCAAACCGGGTCTTCCCAAACCAAAACCTGGGAGACCCAAGCCAAGTTTGGTTTGGGAAGATCCGTTTGGTTTGGGAAAGACGCCCCTCCCGTCAGCCTCCCACAGGGTCCGACAACCCGTGCCCATACCCAGGAAGCCTCCTCTCTCCGACCCTCCTAGGGGCATGGGTGTGAGTTGTTCGTTCGTCAGCTCGGGCGCCTCGGCGCTGCCTGGCCTCTGGCAGTCCCCAGAGGTCCTGGGCCGAGCCCTCGGTGAGGTCGGGCGCCCGCGGCGGGGTGCGCGCCCGATCGAGGAAGCACGAAGTGCGTAAAACATATACACGTCGGTCGTTGAAAGTAGGTACGCTTGAATTCTCAGATCCCAGTCTACTTCAAGCGCCTGCCTACTTCACAAGAGTCGATCTGTTTTGGCTGCATTGTGTTATGATGCGGGCGGGGCCGAACCAAATCTACTGCATCCGTCTTCCTACTTTGTGTTTCCACCTGCTTCTTCCGTCTGGCGGGCACTGATTGACGGTCCGCGTGGTTTCCTTGGACTTGTGTTGGACCGCCTGGTGCGCGGAGACCGCCATGGGCGGTCACGGAGTGCTCCAGGGAGGGGAGCCCAGCGCAGGTCCGAGAAGTCCTCGCGGGCAGTCGAAATCTCACGCTTATGTTGTTGCTTTCTCTTCCTCGGACGAACGCGCCCGTCAAGAATCGGCATCCCCCCAACATACTTGTACTATGTGTTCGTCGCCCCCGCAGGGGCGACGCGCGCACCGAGAAATCTTGTAGTATATGCGTCGTGGCGGGCGCTTTCTGGCCACACCGCTCGAGAAACGATATACTACAAGATGGGTATACTATATGTTCGGGTCGGACGCGCGCCTCCAAGGCGGACATACAGTATTAGTATGTCTCTGTGCGTCCCAAAGAATGCCCCCCGCTCCCGGCGCGGCGCTCGTGGTGCTGCCACCTCTCGCCCCGCGGGCCCTGTTGTCCCCGCGCCCGCCGCCGCCCGAGGCACCTC